ATTTAAACTGTAAATGTCAGAAGGCAACTTGATTCTTAATTCCAGGTCACTCAATAGGGAGATGACATCAAAATTATCCCCTAAATACCAACACATTTTTAACTTACTGACTAATGCATGACAATTCATAATTAGCATTCAATACATCTTTAAGGCTACATAAAATGCAGACTTAATAGAATGGATAATATTTTAAATTGTTGTATAATTTAGTACTTAGAAGCTAAAGAGTTTTACAGGTAATCTAATCCAAAGCCTTTATTTTATACACTAAATAATTTATAGAGAAACTATAAGTAGGTCTTAAACCCAGTTCCTGACTTCAAATTTTGCGTGCTTTCTAATCTTCCCTGATATCTTTTGTTTACCTAATAGTGTGAATGAAGGCACTGAAAGCCAGTTTTGCTTTTGAGGGAGAGTGTGATAAATCATAAGAAATAAGCTAATAGAACACTGAACATGCTAAAAAATAATAAAATCACATAGAAAAATAATAAAATCTCTAATCCAAAGACAAATATGGTCTTTTTAAAAAGGATTTTGACAATTACATACTTTTATTTGGTTTCTTTTTACCTTAGCAGGAGTTTGTTCCATGTTGGCATGGCCCTAATGTAGATAAATATAGCTTTAAAATTACTCAGTTGAAATAATCTCTTCTTCAAAAGACATTATAGAGAGAAGGCAGGGATTTCATCCCTGAAGTGATTTTGGACCTCTGACACATTGTAGCTCTAAATATAAGTTTTTATTGATTCATATTTTGTGGACCAAAATGGAAATAAATAGTGTGACATATACTACATCCCCCCCTTACACACACACACACACACACACACACACACAGGTTTTTAGAGTGGCTTTACATCTTTGTCTTAATAGTTATTACATTAGGAGATAATTAACTTTAGTAAAATGAACTGAATTTCTTTTCTTAGATTAACACAAAGATGAAAAAATCACAAACTAAATATGTGACCACCTCAATCTATCCTGTGTTAACTATATTTTCTTAAAGTATATTTCTAACTATACGAATTTCGTTACGAAGAAGATAACATTTCCAAGGCTTAAATGCTTGAAATCCTCTTTCATATGTTTTTCTCTCTCCTTGATTTAAAAAAAAAGTAAATGTCTCCAGTGACTTACATCTTCAATTTACTGAAGCTGAGGTTCTGACAGATACCTTATAGCCCACAGCTGTAAAGGATTCCTTGTTTAAAGTAGTAATTTTGTTACAATTGAGCTGCCAGTTTTTCTATAAGATTTAAGTTATTTCATGCATTTGACTAATATATCTCTACGTAAAGAATGCCTCCGGCCTCAAAACGTTGGCTATGTATATGGAGAGCTTATTAGGGAAGAAACCATCTGTCTGGAGAAAGCAGTCAAAATGTGTCTTCGACTTTGTGCAACATCTGAGCAATGCCTTTGTTGTCAGGGTAACCCCAGGGTCTGCAGTCTCTCAAACAGGACTTATTTCATTAGTACTCTAGTTCATTGGCTTGTCTGTCTAATGAGCTAGCCAAAGGGGCAAATGGGAGTTTTATATATATTTTTAAAATTTTATGTGTTTGTTTTGTTTACAGTCCCTTTGGAGGTAAATAGCTGTATTTTTAGCTTTCCTACTTCTGTTTTCCCCCATCAGACTCCTTTCCACTCCCAGAATCTGTTTGCTTTTCCTGTGTTTTCCACTTTTTGTATTTACCTGATTGATTTTGAACCACTTCATAAATTGTTCACTATATCAAGATTCAGCAAGCTCCTGGTGTGACTCAGTGGTAGAGCATCAGCCCCTGAACCAAAGGGTTGTGGGTTCTATTCCTGGTCAAGGGTACGTACCTGGGTTGCAGGTCCTTTCCTTGGCCTCAGTCAGGGCACATGTGCGAGGCAACCAGTTGATGTGTCTCTTTCACATTGATATCTCTCCCTCTCCCTTTCTATGCCCTCCCTTCCACTCTCTCTAAAAATCAATGAAAAAATATCCTCAGTGAGGATCAACAGAAATAAAGATTATTTAAAAAAAGATTTAGCAGGAATTTCTACCTTCTACTATCCAGTCTATACCAATATAAGTATCCCTTTTATATGGCTTATGCTGTTCACAATCCTGGTCTAACTGTGAGCAATAAAGGGGAGTTATTTCATTCTAATGGAACTCACTATAGGGTGTTTTCTTAATTTGGCCACAGTGGAACCATCCTGCTATTGTCCTCATGTTGTTCTTTCTTCCCTTGTTCAATCCTGCTTTGTAGTCTTGAAAATCATTGAGTGTTCTGTGTCTTTGAGTCACTGAGGATGAACATCTGGTAACATCTTCACCCTGCTGCCTTTATTCTACAAAAATCATCTTGTCACTGATGATTCATGACTTTAGGTTGAATTTATTAGGTGTGACCATCCTTCACCCTGTATTCTAACTACTTTAGTTGATATTGGAATGACATTAGAAATTCCTTGACCAAGGATGCAGAGAATAAATGTGTAGACATACCAGTAAATGAGTCTGTTACTTAGTATCTCTTGTGCTTAGCATTGAAAAGTAACATTTTTTAAAAAATTTTCTCTAAGCAGTATTCTTTTTAAATGTATTAAATAATTTGATTTATTTTTGTAGAATTTATTATTAGTAGAATCTTCAACATACTGCTTACCTGGAAAAGTATCACTGAGACAAACTTTGGAATGCTCTATTAACATTAGACATGTGGGTTCTTAATTGTCAGCAGTTCTTAGTACAGATGGAAAGATAATCAGACTTTTTGAGCATGAATAAATAAAATGAAAATCCTAAATTAAAAAATAAAGTGAAACTTTGCATTATATATGTCCTATTTTAGTCAGGATATCATTATGATAAAATGTATAGATTTACATTGATAAAGGGAAAATAGATATTTTTCTAGGCCTATGCTAGAAAACAAATATATTTTTCTGAATACTAAAGGTTTGTTCTACTGAAGTTAGAAAATGATAAATGTGCTCCCAACAGACTCTAAACAGATTATGATGGCTATTTTTTCCATTGTTTCTTAAGCTTATGAACATTATGACTTACACTGACATGCCCATGTCATTTGTTGATATAATTACCTTTAAATGCCCCAAATCAGGGAAAAAAGCAAGGAAACAAACAGTTAATTTGAATGATACTGAAACACATGAAAATAATTTTGTGGTTTGGCTGAGAGAAATCTTTATATTCTATTCATCTATGTAATTTTTACATCATTTCTAGAGTATGTCTGCAGAGTGTTTTTTATTTAACTTCAGTTAGCTGTGATATGTTGCTTGATAGATGGATAGTATTTTATTGTTAGAGTGCAGATATAAGGTAGAGTGAAATTTCATAATTTTAGTTTTTAAGCCACTAGGTGAAAAGACTGATAATAAAGGTCATTAGAAATTGCTGGGGTTCTGTGTTTAGGTCAAGCCATATTTTTCTTCCTTGTGATCCCATTAATCACATAGCAGATAGTGATCTGCAATTTCTGTTTCTTATTATCTCATGTGTTTTGTTTGTTTTTTTTGTGAAGCTCAGTTTCTTCTCTTTTAATCTGTCTACTTCTTAATAAAATGTGTTCACTAGTAAACTGCTTGAGAAATTTTCATGTCTCAAAATCCTAATGATGTTTTACACATTGCCTACATGCCTAGTTATAATCACCTTTAAATAATTGTTCCCATTCTTGATATAATGCTCCTGTGAATCTTTTCTCACTTTTGGTTATGCACATTAAATATGACCATGTAAAATTAATTACTACACTACTTCCTGCTCAAAGTGATCAAGTTAATTGAAGGGCACAGAGCATACATTATTTTCCTTACTGTCTGCTCCCAATGACTTCTCCTACCTTTGTCTCACAATATTTCAGTAATATAATATTAAGCAGAAAATCCAAGCTAGCATATTTAATAGAAATGACAGAGATTGTAACTTTCCTCAAAAGATGTTTAAATGCAATATCTTTCTAAGTGTGCTTATCTATACTAATTTTTTTCAATTTTTAAATCAAATTATATATGGTGAGGATGCAGGCCAACTGGAACTTCTTGAAATTCCTGAAAATAGCATATTGGTGAAAAGTTTTTGAAAAAATTTCTAACAGTATCCATTCAACCTGAACATACTTATATCTTAGACTCAACATATCTATTTCTGGCTAGATACTCAATAGAAATGAGTGCTCGTGTCCACCACAAGAATAGTATTCAGAACTTTAGTTATAATGCCCTAAAATTGTAAAGAAGTCAAATGGACATCATTAGTAAAGTAGTAAACAAATTGTGCTATATTCATAAAAAATAAATTTAAAAAGTATTAATAATTGGCATGCAAAATAATATGGATGAATTTCACAGACATGATATTGAGTTAAAAAGTTATGAATAGTGGTGTATGATTCTATTTATGTGCATTTGCATAAGCTAATCTATTAGACCATATCAGAATATGGTCTAATACTGACTGGACCTTTATAATATAACTAGTAGCCCTGAACACGAATCCGTGCAACAGTAGCTCTCTGCCGGGCCTGGCCACTCCATGCCCACTGCCTAGAAGCTCTCTGTGGCCCAGAGGCCCATCCGCAGCTGGGCATGGAATGCTTGCCTCATCGCTGGGGTGACAATGCAAAGTGTTCCCTGCCCCTGACCCCAGCCGCTCTGTGCCCTCTGTCCAGAGGCCCTCCATGGCTGGGGTGGAATGCTTGCCTCATTGCCGAGGCGACAAAGCAAATATTCTGCCAGGTAGCTCACACTGCCCACTCTCTGCAGCTGCCCCCCCCCCCCAGGACTGGGGGACTCCAATGGGACTGAGAGGACTGGGTGCCACCATCTTGTGGCTATGGGTGCTGCCTCTGTGTGATGGAGTGATGGTTAATATGCATATTGCCCTTTTATTAGATAGGATTTTTACACACCAATATATAACAGAAAAATTTACCAAGTTGTTTTTTGAATGTACAATTTTTCTTTGTCATTTTGTCTTCTTGTAGTGTCCTGAATTTAAAAGGCCCAGAGACATTGCAGTTGACTGGGTAGCAGGAAATATTTATTGGACTGATCATTCTAGAATGCACTGGTTTAGTTACTACACCACCCACTGGACCAGTCTGAGGTATTCTATCAATGTGGGGCAGCTGAATGGCCCCAACTGCACCAGACTTTTAACAAATATGGCTGGAGAACCCTATGCTATTGCTGTAAATCCTAAGAGAAGGTAAGCTAATGACTTGGTTATTTATATTTCATGATATGAGCATCCATTTTTAGAGATTGTTCAGCTTGTGCTCTTTAGGTTTGTTTCTGTAATGTGTTCAAAGATAATAGGTTCACAAGGCTTCTGAAAATCCCTCTCTTTTTCTTGTACAAAAGCACACTCATGTTATTTTTATATTACATTTAGGAGCAAATATTTATTTTTTCCTGAAATATTGAAAAAATATACATTCTCTGTGTGTGTATTTTATGTTGCATTTCAGAATAATGAAACTAATGTGATAAACACATAACCACTATAGTGAATCTAATACTGAATTTTTGTAACATTAAATATAATGCTTTTGTGTGTGTGTGTGTGTGTGTGTTTTATTTTTGTTTATTGTTGAAAGTATTACAGATTTCTCCCCATTGATCCTCTTCTCCCCACTTCCCTGCCCTCCACAGGACTTCACTGCACTATTGTCTATGTCCATGGGTTATGCATATATGCATATAAGTTCTTTGGTTAATCTCTTCCCGCCCACCCCCCATTTCCCTATGAGAATCATCTGTCTGTTCCATGTTTCCATGTCTCTGGTTCTATTTTGTTTGGCAGTTTATTCTGTTCATTAGATTCCACATATACGTGAAATCATGTGGTATTTGTCTTTCTTTGACTGGCTTACTTCACTTAGCATAGTACTCTCCAGGTCCCTCAATGTTGTTTCAAATAGTTAAAGGTCCTTTTTTATTGGACTGATTATTCTAGAATGCACTGTCTAGAATGTATAGTATTCCATCGTGCAAATGTACCACAGCTTTTTTATACATTCATCTACAAATGGGCACTTGGGCTATTTTCAGATCTTAGCTATTGTAAATAGCGCTGGTATGAATATAAAATAATATTAAACATATTGAATGTAGAGTATTTTCATGTTTTTGCTATTTGTGATAATAAAAGATGAAGACATATTATGTATAAACAAATTTAAACAATTTAACATAACCATTTAATTTCTTTTACTGGAATTTTTTCATTCTTTACTCTTTTTCTTTTTCATTTGTAAGCAATGACCAAAAAGTAAGTAGGGAAATCTTAGGTAAAAATCCTGACTGCCCAGAAAGTGGATCATTGGATGCTGAGGGAAAAAAAATCAAATGTTATTTACTTAGCAAAATTAGGCTGTGTGGTGTCTTCTAAATAGAGAATGATATCCTTCTGAGAAAGTACTTAAAAAATGAAGCATATTGATGCAGCATCAATAATAAAATGAATATTCCTTCTCAACAAGAGGATAGTTTTAGTTATTAAAATATTTTTCTTCTAAAATGTTCATGAATTTTTCAAAATTGAACTTTTAAGTAATAAATAGTAGTGCACATTATTAAGCATGCCTCTCAAATTTTAGAGCATAGTTAGACCATTTAAAAGTTTGATTTCTGGAAGGTTTCTTTTTTGTAGCTTTAGAGTTGGGTCCAGAAATATGCTTTTTCAGGGTCTCTGGGGTGTTTCTGATGCTCATGATCTGAAGAAACACTATGTTTTACAGTAGAATTGGGTTATAACAGCACATCACCAGGCTAACCAATGTGACCAATGTTTTCAGGATGATGTATTGGACTGTTGTTGGGGACCATTCCCATATAGAAGAAGCAGCCATGGATGGCACTCTAAGAAGAATTTTAGTACAAAAGAATTTACAGAGGCCCACAGGTATGATGTATTTCTGACATAGTCTAAAATTGTATCAGAATTCTAAGCATATTAGTGTTACAATTCTTTAGTTTTGTTGGCAATATAATCATTTTTACAAGCAAATAAAATAATTTATAGTATGACATTATGAAAGTCATTAACATTTCATGTTGTATTTTTCCATCTAAAAGTCAGGTTCTTAGCATACTGCCCGTGATATTATGGGGATATTATTTGAAAATTGCCTTAAGTTTTAAGGCCATTAGTAAGATTTCAGATGAATGAAATTTTGACAGTTTATAGCAATGTATCAGGATATTTTTACATATACTGTAAATGTTAATGATGTTGTGGTAGATGGTAGTATTACTAGAAAATGAGAAACTAAATGGACAAAGAACTAGGAAAACAGATAATATTAGTGAAAGACAAGTTTGATGATGCCTTGCTTTTTTATTCTCAGCTTTCAATCTGATCTGGCTTTAATCTGTCTCCTAGTTATGTTGTCTACTCTACAATGTCATCTACACAGCCATGTCATCTACACTGATCATGTCATCTACACTGCCATGTCATTGACACTACCATGTCATCGACACTACCATGTCGTCTACACTACCATGTCGTCTACACTACCATGTCATCTACACTACCATGTTGTCTACACTACCATTTCATCTACATTACGTACCCCCAGGACTGCTCAGGAGTTCAGGCTTTTGTGTGTGTGTGTGTGTGTGTGTGTGTGTGCCCCTCCTTGTTCTTTCTCTCACTCCATTTTTATCCCAGCCTTCCACCTAGACTTCCCTTCCAACTTCTGTATATTGGCTATACCTTACCCATCTTGTAAGGTCTAACTTAAGCACTTCTTCCTCAATAAAACATTTTAGACTACTGGAGTCTAGGGGATTTTGTGTCACCTACACCTGCCTACTACATTCCCATCAAAAGGATAGAATGCACTTTCTATAGCACATATTATTTAACAGTTATGCTTTGTAATAGCTTTTGTAGTTGAAATTTTATATTTGACACTTATATTCTTATTAACTTTTAATGTGCCTTATGCCTTTTCCTCCAACTAGATTGTTTTTACTCTTTACGGGAATGAGCAGTCTTTGGGATTTAGTTCATTTATGTAAGTGTGTCTCCGTTCAGTGATTTAACAAGGACTAATTGAACACCCACCTGGTGCCGGAAATTGTTCCAGATGCTAAAGAAATAAGATCTTACCCTTGTGAAAAGAGTCTTATTCCCATGAAACATACCTTCCTGTAGAGAAGAGAATAGATATTATGCTTCATGTCAGATAGTTATAAGTGCTATATAGAAAAAACATACTAAGGATGGGTAGTTATGGAAATACCATTTTAGTTAGAGAAGATATGTCTAGAAAGATAATATTTGAAAATATCACAATAAATCATAATGGCAAGTCACATGTGTATGTGAGGAAAGAGCGTTCTAAGCAGAGGGAACAGCAAGTTCTGAGTTAGGAATGAGCTTAGCATGTGTCAAAGAGTAACAAATATGTTCATATGCCTAGAAGCATATGAAAGTGGTAGAGATGAGAGTTGCCATGTGGCCAGAGGCAGATCATCTATCCTGGAACACACAGATAAGCCCTGGATTCTGTTCTAGCTCTAAGGGGAGCCATTGGAGAGTATACCAAGGAGGAGAGTGGCATATCTGCTCAAATACCATTTTCATCGTTTATAGACCTTTTACTTTTTTCTTAACTTATTATTTTTCACTAATTTTAGACTTAGAAACAGGTTGCAAAATTACCTCAGAAGTTATCTGATGTTAACATTTACATACTCACAGTATATGTAATATTTTCATTTGAAGGAATGATGCGGCAGCAGTTTATAGAAGGGCACATAGGAGGGTGCTTTGAAGGGAGCCTGAGACAGGAATTCTTGCAAAGGTTACTTATGAAGGGAGTGTCATTCAGGAGAAACCTGTAAAGGGTGGAGAAAGGGAAAGAGCCCAGAAAGACTGTGCGTCGGGTAAAGTCTAGTCTCAGCTTGAGCCGCAGGGGATGTGCTTCGGCATAAATTCCATGACAGGCAAGGAAGGGGTCATCTTTTCATATTTCCCAGAGTCATTGCTTGGCCTTTGGGCCCTAACTGCCCGAGCAGGCTGCTGCAGGCAGCAGAGCACAGCTCCCTAGCAGTCAATCCTTAGCTGCTAAAGCAGCAACTGGGAGATGGGTAGCCTGCCTAGTCATGGAAATTTGAGCTGGGTCCCAGTGTCCTACAGTGGGCTAAATGAAGGTGCATGTATTGACCATCTTCCATGTGCTAACCATTCTGCTCAACACTATGGGGAAATTAATGATGCTCTTGGCACAGTCCCTCTTCTCGAGGAGTTTACATTTGAAAAGAAACAAAACTGAGGCATGAACAGAAGTAACTACAGTTTGGGCAAAATATTAGAATTGTTACATACCTGGTAATATTATGGAAGTTCAGAATCAAGAAAGATTAACTCCAGTGATCAACAAACAAAAAGCAAAACAAACAAACAAACAAACAAAAATATGTGAACGGTTTCTCTTGAAAAAGTGTTTAAAGAATGGATAGACATTCGAAAAGTGGGCAGATAATCTATCGTGGTGTAGTGTTTATAAAGGTTTTCTTCAGATACGTCTATTTGTTTATTTAATTCTGGGGGATCACTTATTAGCTATGAGATCTCAGAAATGAACTTATAATCTTCAGAGTTTTATTTGATCATTAACAAACCAAGGGGTAATAATAATTAACTTAAAATATTGCTGATTGTGTGAAATGGCATAGCACTCTGAACCAGGGGCTGCAATGTGGAACGCGTGGCATGTTTCATAATGGTAGGAGCCTGGGTGCACCTGGAAGGGGGCAGATTAGATGAAGTAACATAAGCTGAGAATAAAGGACTTTAACTGCTAAGGTGTTTAGACATGATTTATTTAGTCAATAATGAACCTCTGTACAGTTCTGATTCGAAGTGTGATGTGAATAACGTAGGGTATGTTGCGGTGGTAGCACTGTGCCAGTGGAATGAATAGATACAGAAATGAAAAGACCAGTTAACAGTCCATTGAACTGTCTCACTGAGAGTGGAGAATAGCACCACTAGAACAGTAACAGTGAATACACACAAGATGTATGTGGGAGACAGAGTAGAATTAGAGTAGTGGAATTTATTGAATGCATATGAGAATAGAGAGATAGTAACTAGCTCCAATAAATTAGAGTTATTCATACAAGTATCTTCATTCATCTCTCCTTTCATTCAAAAAATATTGTCGCTCACTTTACGGCAGGCACTGCTAGTCATCTGAAATATGGATCCCTACACTCCTGGACATTATAGTCTAATGTGGGGTGACTCTAAACAAAAACCAACAATGTGTGTGTGAGCGCACACATGCACATGTGGTAAATGGCTCTTATAGACAAGAGTGGGGTGCTGCAGAGGTGTCCCTTTGATTATAGTGGGGAGGAGAGGCTTTTTGAGGCTAGTTGATTGTTAAGAATAATTGCTAGATGATGTGAAAAGGTGGGTGTAAAATGTCACAACACAAAGTAAAGAACAGGTCAGACAGTCCTGAGGTAGAAAATGGAATTGAAAGAAAGCCAAAGAGCATAGTAAACAAATTGGAAAATGTCATGAGATAAGACTTAGGGAGATGCATAGGGGCCAGTCCATGCAGGGTCTTAGAGACCATGAAAAGTACCATGGACTCATGTTAAGCAGGTAACAAGACCTGGTCAGTCATCCATAAGGCCATGCCAAGAAGGTAGTTGGTGTAAGGCTCTCTACTCCTTTTCTAGTGGGCATATATGAGTTTTCTTCTCAGCAACTCTGCTCTGAAACTCTGCCCCACATACAGAGGTAGACTCTTAGAAGCTTTTTATTTACTACTAGAGGCCCGGTGCACAAAAATTTGCTGGGGGGGTTATCCCTCAGCCCCACTTGTGCCCTCTCACAGTCTGGGACCCCTCGGGAGATAACGACCTGCTGGCTTAGACCCGCTCCTGGGTGGCAGAGGGCAGGCCCAATCCCTAGGTGCCTGCCCCACAGCCCCTGGTCGGGCTCAGAGCAGGGCTGATTGGGGAGTTGGGGCACCGCCCCCTGTCATGTACAGAGTAGGGCGGATCAGGAGGTTGCGATGCCACCCTCAGTCACACTTAGCATCGCCCTATGAACCAGGAAGTCACTCTTTGATTCCTGACCAGGGCATACACTGGGGTTTCAGGCTCGATCCCCAGTGTAGGGCGTGCAGGAGGCAGCTGATCAATGATTTTCTCTCATCATTGATGTTCTAGCTCTCTCCCCCTCTCCCTTCCTCTCTGAAGTCAATAAAAAATATTTTTAAAAATTAGCCATAATAAATAAATCAGTTAAGTGTGGAAAGGAAGGATACTTAGGGTAGCTTTTCCTATGTGAAATAAGATTTTTGCTCCAGCTTATTAAATAAATTCCATGTAATCTATACACATGTACAACATAGACTATGTAATTTCTGTGATGCTTGAAGAGAAACATCAATAATATTTATACATTAAGACGCAAAAACATAATTTAAATAATATGAATGTATTTGTTATTTGCCTGTGTGTGTTGGTTTTGCAGGGCTGGCTGTGGATCATTTCAGTGAACGGATATACTGGGCTGACCTTGAGCTCTCCCTCATTGGCAGCGTTCTGTATGACGGCTCGGATTCCGTGGTCTCCGTCAGCAGCAGACAAGGTTTGCGAAGTGCTTTCGTGATTTCTTTTAATTATTTTGAGAGAATTAAATAATGGAATGTAAATATAAGTATGAGAGCTTTCTATTTTGGATTTCCTCAAATTCTTTCTTCTTTCAACTTGTAGCTCTTACTATTGATTATAATTTTCATTCCTACTAGAATAACAAAGATGCCAAACCACAAAAACTTCTTGACTATAGGACAAAAATGGTCCATCACTACCTAGATTCAGAAAATAATAATTTAGTTGCTGCTGAGGCTATCTCATTCTAAGCAGAACATTTCAAGTATAAAGATTAGCATCTGTGAAAACTAATTTATATTTCAAATTGCAGTGATAACAAGCAGAAAAGAAGTTACTGCATATAACAAAATATGATAAAATTATTATTATTATTATTATATGTAATTTATAGCTATACTTTTTTGCAAGGCAAAAGTAGTGTGTAAAAATTACAAACTACCTCGACCCCTGGTGACCTCAGTACCTACTTGTGCACTTCCTGTGCGGCACCCATTTTGTCTCCACCTCTGTGCCTGACTCCTATTTCTCTCTCTCTCACTTTCTGACTCCTGTGCCTGGCAGCTTCACTTCTTTCTATGAATCTAATTTCTTTTTGTTTTTCTACCACAACCTCTCCCTTTACTTACCACAGATTGTTCATAATATACTTGACATTTTTATATGTACATATTTTATTTAATGAACACAGTTTTGCTCCTTTAAAAAAAAAGCAGAGATGTTGAAAGAAAAATAATTAAATTGAACTTTTATCATGCCTTTGCCCAAGTATGTGTTTTTGTATGGTGACCATGGATGGACAAATATAATTCCACATTTCTGAAATAAGAAATGTTTCAGCTTAAGTGTGTATTTTAATATTTCAAAGAACATTGAAAAAAATATGTTTCAAACACATTTTATATTCTACAAACTCTAGAAAATAGGTGAAATACGGGGTGGGCAAAAGTAGGTTTATAGCTATAAATATACAAACATAGTTTATTCTTTTATTATTTGTTAACTATTGTATTATTTTTCATAGAAATAACTGTAAACCTACTTAACTTGCTTTAAATTTCAGCACCAAATCTTTGACTAGTTATTCTTTTTGCAATTAAATAAGTCATTTCTTAATATGAGAAAAATGATGGTCTCTATTATTTTTAGCCAAAAAGTCAAATGTGTAATTACCATTTCCAGTTTGTTTGTTTTGTTTGTTTATTTTTTTTACTTTGTTCCCAAACAGACAATAGTAACATCAAAATTGTTTTTGGATTTTACTCTTTATTTTTTAAATTTATTATATATAGTTTTTTTTCTTTATTAATTAAGGTATTACATATGTGTCCTTAATCCCCCATTGTCCCTCCACCCCCCACTCATGCCCTCATCCCCCCTGGTGTCTGTGTCCATTGGTTATGCTAATATGCATGCATACAAGTCCTTTGGTTGATCTATACCCCTTACCCCCGCCCTCCCCTACCTTCCCTCTGAGGTTTGACGGTCTGATCGATGCTTCTCTGTCTCTGGATCTGTTTTTGTTCATCAGTTTATGTTGTTCATTATATTCCACAAATGAGTGAGATCATGTGATATTTATCTTTCTCTGACTGGCTTATTTCACTTAGCATAATGCTCTCCAGTTCCATCCATGCTGTTGCAAATGGCAAGAATCAACTCAGAATTGCTTGATAAATTTGTAACTCAGGTAACCTATTTTGATCCAGAACACAATTTGAGAATTGTATGAACTGCCTGTTTTTTGCAAAAGATAACATTGGCCTATAAGGCTTTTCTTTTGACAGCAAATTGTAAGGCAGGGAAAATTACACTGCATATAAGCCCTAAGCAAATGCTTTGTGGTGGTGACAATGATAAAAGTGATGATGAAAATGTTTGTTATGTTCTGAGTGACATATTTAGTATCACACATATCCCTAAGGCAAATAAATTAATTCTAATAACCTTACAGGTAATGTTTAAAATATTTTAGTTCTGAAAGAGTTTTTCTAAACAAGAATAATAAGATTTTCTATAAGATTTTGGATAAACTTCATTTTCTTAAGTCTGAGAATTCACATTGCAACTTTTATAACTCTACCTTTTACAAATTCTAGGCTTGCTACATCCACATAGGATTGATGTCTTTGAAGATTATATATATGGAGCAGGACCTAAAAACGGTGTATTTCGAGTACAAAAATTTGGCCATGGTTCAGTAGAGTACCTAGCTTTAGATGTTGGTAAAACAAAAGGTGTTTTAATATCTCATCGCTATAAACAACTAGACTGTAAGTATAATATTTTATACAATTGTCTATATTGGTGAATTTCTTTCTTGTCACTCTCAAAAGAAAGTATTTTTTAAACTGCCTTCATTATTTCAATGTCTTAACCCCAGTAACTTAAATAACTTTAATTTTGTTATCACCAGACTTTAAATTACCAAAATCAAGATATAAATAATACAAAATTTTCCGTTTGTCATAACAAATATGAAAATGTCAGGATTTGCTGTGTTTTCTTATTATTCAATTTGACATTGTTTTTTTAATGTGTCATTTATTTTTATATGATTTTATCTTAATAAAATCTTGTGAGTCTGTAGACAAGTCTAGGAAATTCATCATTAGTCAGTTTAACTTTTTCTTACTGATACCCAAGTGACAATTATATCTCTAACATGCCATCCTTAGATGTATCTAAGGAGAGCTCTTCTCAAGGGCTGTTTTCTCTGATTGTTCATGACTTTTATTGTTACTTTCCCTCCCAGATGGGAATTGGAAAATAAGGGATGCTATTATCTTGAAAGGTATATTTTGAACACAACTATCAAAAATATTGACAACCAGAGTAAAAATGTGGCTGAAATTCCAATGACTCATCTCTATGTATGAGTTCATGCTTCAAGAGAATGTTTAAGATTTATTTATTATTAATCTTTATGGCAAATAGAAAGGGATTTAATCTCATTTGGTGCAATGATCTGGAAAGGTAACAAAGATATTTATCCAAATCAGTGATGGAAACAATTAAAACAGCATATAGTCCTCTAAAAACTTCCTAGAATTCTATTTCAGGTTTTGCTGCTCTTTACCAGTCATCTGACATATATAGTTCTAAGGTTAGTAACATCTGTTCCCCTATTAAGGTGACCAGTAAGATTGAAATGAGATAATTCCAGCAGAAAGTTGATGTGATTGCTAATTCCATCATTTCAACTTATTGAATTTCATGTTCTTGAAACCTATTGTATTTATAGTTATGCATTTCTTTGTTTTCTTTTAACCAGTACCCAATCCTTGTTTGGATTTAGCATGTGAATTTCTCTGTTTGCTGAATCCTTCTGGGGCCACCTGTGTGTGCCCAGAAGGAAAATATTTGATTAATGGCACCTGCAATGATGACAGCCTGTTAGGTAGGTAAACTTCATTATATCGGTAAATAATGAATTCATCTGTATGATACATTTTTACAGCTATAGACACTGAGCAGAACTAGCTACTCAGTCATCAATGTACTTACCTTAATAGCATTGCTTCTTGAATACCTCCATAAACTGTTCTTCTGATGATAACTTTCTATTAATTCATTTTACATTTATTCACAAAGCTGCATTGAGCACTTACTATGCATTTAAGAGTAGGTTAAGAACTTTGAAGTCACACACAGATCAAAATGTATTTTTATATAGCTCGTATATCAGTGAAGATCATGTTTCTGAGCATGCCATTCTGCTATCAGTTTAAACTCAACCTCCAAATACATTTAGTCATTCAACAAGTTTATATTGAACAACTTCTGTGTGCCAATACTAATTTAGAAACTGGTGGTTAATTTATAAAGAGTCTGAGTTTCCTCTGTGTAAAATTTGATTAACAATAAATATTACCATTACCATTAAGAAATGTTTTGAGGGTTATGAACAAAACATAACACTAATTTAGAAACCAAAGACTAATTCAGAAACAAAACCTCCAAGATATCTGTACTCATGAAGTTAATAATTTAGAAGCTAGAGGTTGAAACAAACATTAAAATAAATTGAAACATAATTTCCAATGCTGATAAGTATTAAAGAGCAAAAACTTTAAAAAACAGAAATAGTGTGATCTCTTATATTTAAGACACTAGAGGCCTGGTGCACCATATATATATATATATATATATATATATATATATATATATATATATATGCCTAAATGACCATTCGACTGTTCAACTGTCGACTGTTCAACTGTCTGACCATTCAACCTGTAGCTATGATGCACACTGACCACTGACCACCAGGGGGCAGATGCTTAATGCACAGACATGGAAACATGGAACAGACTGATGAATCTCAGAGGGAAGGGAGGAGGGGGTAGGGCGGGAAGAGATTAACCAAAGATCTCATATGCTTACTAGAGTCCTGGTGCACGGATTCTTGCACCACAGGGGTCCCTCAGCCTGGCCTGTAGGCATTGGGCCAAAACCAGCAGTCCAACATCCCCTGATAGGTATCAGATTGTGAGAGGGCGCAAGCCAGGCTGAGGGACCCCACCAGTGCATTAATCTGTGCACTGGGCCTCTAGTCTTAACTATAAAATAGGCATGACTTTAATAGAAGGCATATTCTAGAATGAAATGCCTCTTACAATATTGTCAATCATTTCTTTTTCGTTGGACATTGTGTTTTGCTTTAAGTAAAGCAGTATTTCTAATGGAGCAGGGATATGTGAACACATATAGATAAATTACTTGAAAAATGATTTCAAGCCAATCTTTTTTATTAATCAGACATCATAATTTTAAGAAATAATTTTCCTATTCCAAGAAATGACCATCCTTTCTTATTCTCAGCCAAACTATATGGAATAGACAAATTGTGCCTAATTATTTTAAATATGGAAATTTTACACATGGAAATGTTTCTACACTGTTCTATTATCATCTTATACCTGTGGTTGGCAAACCACGGCTCACGAGCCACATGCGGCTCTTTGGCCTCTAGAGTGTGGCCTTTCCACAAAATACAACGTGCGGGCGCGCACGTACAGTGCAATTGAAACTTCGTGGCCCATGCGCAGAAGTCCGTATTTTGTGGAAGAGCCACACTCAAGGGGCCAAAGAGCCGCATGTGGCTCACGAGCCGCGGTTTGCTGAGCCACAGTTTGCCGATCACTGTTTATACCAAATCTAAGTGACTTTTGGTTTGGAATATTTATATATATAGTTAATAAGTATGTACATCAAAGAGTATATTTTTATTTTAAAATGCCCCTATACTATAAATTGTATGTCTATGTATAAAATATACTTATTATTATATATACAATATAATACACTTATTCTATATCTAAAGATATATGTTTATATACAGTTTACATATTTCAGTTTGGTTTGAAATTAAACACTTCTAAACAATGGGCTATGATTGCCCACATTATAAAAAATACTTATTGGTTGGACAATATTTTATTTTTAGAAAGTCTCAGTTGGTTTTATTACTTACTGTTTTAACAACTATAAGGAATGTCTAATAATGTTTTAAGCATATAGAAAAATAAAATTTAATTCAACATTTGTATTCACCATTCAATAATGGTTGAAATTTATTTCTCTGTTTTCAGATAATTTTATTCTCCTTTTATATTAGGAGTATTTATTTTTGGAATTTTTAATAAAGAAAATCCTAGTATTTTTTTATTTTCTAAAAATATTTTTATTCTACTATCCACTAAATGGCATGCTAATTCATACATTTCTTTTTATAACCAGATGATTCATGCAAATTGACTTGTGAAAATGGAGGAAGATGTATTTTAAATGAGAAGGGTGATTTGAGGTGTCACTGCTGGCCTAGTTATTCAGGAGACAGATGTGAAGTAAACCACTGTAGCAACTACTGTCAAAATGGAGGAACTTGTATACCATCCGCTCTGGGTAAATATTTGAGTTTCATTGTCTGTTCAAATCACTTGCAATGTTCTGTAAACATAAAAAAGAAAATAATGTTACAAATATCATTTCTGGTACCTCAATAAAGAATACATTAACACAAATTAAATGGAATAATAATTTAACATAATCAATGACATTTGTTCTAAATTTAGTATTTCAAGGTTCAAGGCATCTAACTTAACAATAGTAACGACATGACCAGGTGTTGAGTGTGCCAAGTGCCAGATCCAGTGGTCACAGATTCTGACTCATCAGGCTCAGAATGATGAAGTGAAACCAGTTTTATAAGCCTATATCTTTGACTTGAATATCTGTTTGTTCTTAATTGAACTGTTTGCCTAATGCTAAGAATCATTTGATATTGAAAATTAGGTCCATTTTAAATGTAAATATATTAGTTCAAATGTGTTTCACTACTTGAAAGAATACTTTGCTAAAGATAGTGTGCAAATGCTGATAGCTCCTTTAAAGTATCATCTATATATATAAAAGGCTAATACGCTAAGTGTCCAGCCATCTGACCAGTCACTATGAGTGCACTGACCACCAGGGGACAGATGCTCAATGCAGGAGCTGCCCAGATGCAGTGACATGGCAGCGGCAGTTCTCAGGTGATGCACCCAAAACCAGAGAGGAGGGAGCCCGATTCCTACATGATTCCACCTTCAGCCGTGGGTTATGTTGTTGCTGGGGCACTGTGGGTCCCGAATCTGGTTTACTGCACACTTGCATTTGTGTTCCACACCCTGAACAACAGCAACTTTGCAGAGTGCCGTCTTGCACTCTGGGACCCCTTGGGGGATGTCAGAGAGCTGTTTTCGGCCCGATCCCCACAGGCCAGGCCAAGGGACCCCACCTGCCGGAGGGACCCCGCTCACTCTGCAGATGCCCTTCGAGCCACGGCGCCATCTCAGGTGTGGCCAACTGGGGAGGGAACAAGAGAGGTTGACTCCAGGGCATATCTGGCCTGTCTCGCCCCGTCTCACCAGCCACCTTCTAATTAATTTCCTTTCAATGTGCACAAATCCGTGCACCGGGTTACTAGTTACAATATGCCATTTATGGCAGCATGATGGCAAATGTAGCTTGCAAGTATCTCTTTTATAAACTATTCATAAAATACTTGCACTCATTAAATGACACAGTGTTGAAGTCCCTTTGCAAGTGACTGCTTAAGAACCTTAATGCTAACCCTATGTTAACTTCATAGCAAGACTAATTTCAAGTCTCCCCAGTAACTCTACCACAAACTTAACTTTCATAAAGAACTCAAACCAAACCTTAGGTTGAAGCATAGTCATTGTACAAATGCTACTCCACACACTAACCAAAACATTCATCCAAATCTTAAAAGAATAAAAAATAATTAGTATAAATATATAATATCAGCACATCTGATGGCATTGTAGTTCCCATCTAAAATCATAACTACTCTTGCCCTAGCCTGTTTGGTTTAGTAGTTGGAGTATCAGCCTATGGACTAAAGGGTCCCAGGTTCAATTCCATTCAAGAGTACATACCTCCTTTGCAGGCTTCATCCCCAATCAGGGTGAGTGGGGGGGGCAACCAATCAATGTGTCTCTCTCACATCGATGGTTCTCTATCTTTGTCTCTCCCCCTCCCTTCTACCCTGTCCAAAAGTTAATGGAAAAAAAATATCCTTGGGTGAGATTTAACAAAAAATATAAAATAAAATAAAATAAAATAATAAAATAAAATATAGTAAAATGAAAAAAATAAAATAATTACTCAGTTGGCATGTAGTGTATAATCTGCTTTGAAAATATCAGTTTACCATGAATTAGGATATACTTGAGATTCTTATTAACTTATACAATAGTTAAGTTTGCACAAAGTGGTTTCTAAAACATATAAGTGAACATTGAAACATTTTTTACTGACTTGTATTATGTTTAAAATATGTTCCCATGGGAATAAATTAACCCCAATGCATAATAAAATTATAACTTGCAGATCACAATATTTGCTACAAAGGATATTATGTAACTATGAGAGCAACCTATGCACATTTAACTCTACTACATAAATGCAAATTTCTTTAGTCAAATGGAAAATTAATCTATATGATCTTTACATCCCCTACATGGTTAATTTCCATCTTTCTGGGAGTTCTCACTGCTTCTGTTTCTTATGCTATTCTTTGAAGTATTTAGCATAATGCTAACTGAAAGAGTCACATTAGAAATTTTTTTCAATGGAATTTAGAAGAACTAAACTTTTTCTGTTTTGTATTCTAATAGTAAAAGCATTACTATTTCTTTAAGTTTGATAGTTTTATGTCTATAAACATTTTTGACATGTGATTAATTGATAACTAAGCTATTATAACTGCTTAACTGAATTCTGAAAAATAATATTCAGCAGGTTGATTGAAGTAAAAAAGACACTAGGATCTTTATTACATATTTTCATTCTGTGTAAGGAAAGTTAATCCATACAGTAGAGTATATTCTATTGCTGCAGGAAAAATTGTAGTACTGGGACCTTCATTGAATATAAAAATAAAAGTCCAATAAATGTGCCATGAAAGGATATGACCTGTGATCTTATTTTAGTAACATAGATACCATTTCCTTCAGAAAAAAAATATTTTCTTTTGCAAATGAGTTTTAGAGATTTTATTATTTTACTGTTAACTTAATTTTTCTTATTATAATAATAAAATCATTGGGTTACAGCTGTTAGCAGTGAAATGCCACCAGAATGTTACTGGCAATTGACCTCAGTTTTGCAACCTCGATATTTGAGTTCCGGCTAAGAAAGAATTCAGAGCTAAGACTCAAATACAAGTAAAAGTTTATTTAGAAAATCACAGAGGTAGAAGAAGTGATCCAGGTTGGCTGTGCAGATTCAGGAAACAAGCTACAGAGGCAAAAGGAAGGCCCTTGGAGCTTAGGAAACAAAAGGCAAGGGAACACACCTGGAGGAAGGAGAGGAGGAAAGTTGTGGGCATGCTCCAGAGAGAGAGAAGTGCACCCTGGAGAAAGAAAGGGGTGAGGAAGGCATGGACATGCTTAAGGGAGAGTGCATGTGCTGAGTCCTCCATCCTGAGAGTTTTATCTGTTCTCTAAAATGGTGGATCTTAGGGAAGGTCCCAAGAGAGGACCTTCATGAAATATTCATCAGCTTTCCAGGTGTGTCCTTTCAGAGTCATGGTCTCCACTGATTGGTATTCACTAGGGCAGAGGGTCATTTGTCACTGCAGCTGGTCCTGATGTCAGCCATGGTGTCTCCCTGCCTGGCCTTGCTTGCCTTTCTGGGCCTGGAGCTGAAACACAACTGAGGCCTAGATGTTACCTGTAGTTTGACCAAAACTGTCTCTGTGATCAACAGACCCAAGACTTTGTTCCTAAGATTATTTGATGTGGGTCAAGATCTCATTGTCTTCAGGGCTTGATGCTTAAGGGAATGGTTGTGCAAGGGCTTGTGTGGGAGTCATATGAAGCTATTCTTCAGCCACTTGTTCCTCCTCCAAAAGAATCTACCCCATGACTAGCAACATGATAGGGGAGGAAAGGTCAGGGGAGGTTCTGGACTACATGACCAGTGATATGAAAGGCCAGGGGGTCTAAACCTCATGACCAGTGATCCACCAGGTTAGGAAAGGTCACCTTGGGTGTGAGGGCCTTGTTTTCTCAGTTTTTCCCATTGCTAGGCACTTGGGGCCTTCCTGGTACCTGGCCTATTGCTCCTACTTTCGTTATGCCTGTCTACCTACCATACAACCAGATGACTTTCTTATATTTATCCAAGGAAATATTTAAGCCAACTAAAGAGTTTGTCACTCCAATCTATGCCTACTATTTAACCTGCAACAGAACAACAGGGACAAATCTCTATGAAGCATTGAATTTGCTATCCTATAAATGCATCCTGAACTATATACGGATACAGCACAACTTTGAATGTTGTTTTCAAATAATTTGTCCAGACTTTGCTACATTCTTAAAATCTATATCAACTTTACCTATGCACCCAGATTATTAGATTTTGATTGACATAGAGAGAATATGTTCAGAAAAAATTATATTTCAAATTAGTAATATAAATGGCATCATCTGAATTCAACCTGAGTTATGTTAATATAGTTTATTGTCTATCTTATAATTAATAATAATATAATATTCAAATAAGTCATTTACAAAGCATTTTCAGTTTTAAAAATGTGGTTTTATAGAACATGATCTGGTATTATAGAGTGTAGAACCTTATTATCTCCATACAAATGTTAATTTGTTAAACAAATCCCTTTGGGCAAGTCATGGATTTATTCATTGTTGGTTTACTTATAGTTAAGCCTTTTGGCAAATTCCTATGTGGACACTATATAACTAGGGTTTGGAGAAGCCTTAATTAAAATTTATAAGTTTATGACAGTTGTGTAAGACTATAATATGTGAACAAAGAAATGTCACCAATTAATTAAAAGCACACATCTGAGAGGCATAATTAAAATTCTGCATGTAGGAATGAGTTTTTCCCTCATTCCTTAAGATTTTTTTAATAAACAAAACTAAAACATAAATTCATATAGAAAAGTACTACAAAATTAAATAGTTTGACATTGATTATACAACAAGGGTCCATGTAATTAATTTCTATGACCTGCTCATTGAATCATTGAAGGATAGATTTAAGATAAAGTTTGCCTTGGGTAATATATTGGAAATGAGAATAAAGCATTGAAATATTAAGATATTTAATTACAAAAATTATAAAATAATTTATGATTTTTTTATTATTGACAAGTGGCCCAGTGCATGAAATTTGTGCACATTAAAAGGGAATTAATTAGAGGAAATAGTTTAATATTGCTATTCACGTCCCCCAGCCTGGCCCTGGGTGGAGAGGCAGCCTCATGGCCCCGCCAAGCGCCAGGCTGGGAGGCAGCCTCACATCCCGGGCCAGCGCAAGTCCCTGCCCACACCTGCCTCGCACGCAGCCTCCTGCTGTTCGGTCGT